TTAAGTTTTATGGATGATATCAGGGGGAGGTTGTATGAGGGGTGGGGGCCGGGGGGGGGGGGGGGGGGGTGCGGAAGAGTAATCAGTTAACCCAGACAACATCCCTAGAGCTGGGAGGGGGGAACAGTGTTAGGCCCCTCATTGTTACACACAGTTACCTGTGTACATATATGGGGGAAAGCTTTTCTTGTTATTGCATGCACAAAAAAATTGTAAACTACACAACATGTACACATACATCATGTACTTAATATCATCTAATGAAATAATACAATTTTGAACACATGGCAACAACTTAACAGAGCTGCTGCTCAGAAATGTACTAAGCTCAGAAAAATATTTGCTTAGTGAAATCAGGGTACCAGTTGAAATGTCATGCTAGTGTATAGTCCTCTTGACTGGTTCTCATCATATTTGAGGGAAGCTTACAAATGTGCTAAGTATTATAAGGCTGTGTCTGAAGTTTGTAAATGGCTACGGCTAGAAATTACACACGCGCCTATGGAAGTGGCTGCAGCGGCTAGCCACTTCCCATAGACCGGTGTGTTATATCCAGTCGTAGCCAAATCATTCTCTGTTGGAGTGGCTTTATGAAACTGAGTGTTCAGCAGACCACTTGTTCTTAGCACACACATTTCCTAGCACTAGCAGAGAGTGCATTGAGAGAAAGAAAAAACAGGAAGTTGTGTCCATGGTACGTTTTGTCCAGTCTCTTTTTCCCTTGTCCCTGATGGGGTCCTAGGGAGAATAAATATCTTTGGCCTTCCCCGTAGGCTGCTCTGTGGGCAGCCTGCGTCTTGGGTTCTTGTCTTTTCTCTTTTCATTTTTCTCTGCTACGTGATGTGAGGCCGAACGGACAACATGTTTTGCACGGGGATTAGTCGACCACAAGGAGTCAAGCAAACATGGCTCAGGGCGTTAAAAAGAAAAGTTGAAAAAGTTAAGAGCTGTCTTGAATAAAATTATGGCTACTTCATAGCAGTTTCATTTCAGGTATCTCAAATGTTGAACAAGTTAGTCACCAGTCCATCACAAGTTTGTCACAAGCCAGTCACAAGTCCATCACCAGTCAATCACAAGTCTGTCACAAGTCCATCACAAGTCTTTCACAAGCCAGTCACCAATTAATTACAAGTCAATCACAAGTGTGTCACAAGCCAGTCACCAGTCCATCACAAGTCTGTCACAAGCCAGTCACAAGTACATCACAAGCCTGTCACAAGTCAATCACAAGTCCATCTCAAGCCAGTCACAAGTCTGTCACAACGGCAGTCTGATCAGGTGTGAACAGGGGAGATAGAGAAACAAGGCAGGATTTGAACCAGTGACCGCTAGAATACTGCACAGGTGTTTTACCAACCGAGCTATGATCCAGCCTATGATCTCCCAATTACATGTAGTCAATTCTGTCATTGTGCTGCAGTTTTGTTCGATTTCATCAATTTTCTTCTCGATTTTCTAAAAATTACTGCATTTTCAAAATCACATTTCTTTGAATTATTGACGTTAAGCTTCCTGTGCCATTTTAGGAACTAAAAGTAAAAAACACACAAAACACGCAATCAATTTTCAAGGAAATACAACTTCCGAAACAATATTAAGTTCGCACGCACATGATCAGGCATGAGATTATTCAGCCTTTTGTCTGAAATCAATTTTTTTTTTAAATCTGGCAGAGAGACATTATCATCAAGTGTAGAAAGAAATGCTTTCAGTCCTTTCATCCAATTTTCAGATTATTGTTTTTATTTGACAATCTTAACCCTGCATGACTTTTTATTGACTTGATTATTTTTCACTATGGCAACAAAATATGCCATTGTATCTATTTCTCCTTCACGTGACATTCTTCAATTTAACCTCACAGCGGTCAAGGGCACAGGACAATGTACTACCGGTTCCACTTCAAATTTAGAAAAGAAAAGAAATGCTTAAACCCCAAAATAAGTTTTAATTGTCTTGCAAATAGACGCTTGGTTCCTGTGGTGTGCACGTTTGTGGTTTATGTGGTTACTATTGCCCAAATTGTTCCAACGCAATGGGAAACAGCCATGTGGTCTGTATCCTTAGTTCTTTGACGTTACCACAGTTCATTGAATTACTTCATCTGGTCACATGATCATTACTATTCAAACAATTATTGTATGAAAATGGATTTGATTTACCTTGTTAAAAGCATGCCCCAAAAAACGAAAATCCATTGACATTTTTTTATGTTTTCATACTATAGTCAGGTTTTAATATTCTAAAGTGTATTCTCTCAACTTCTAAGGTCATGTTTATATTTATAAAAAAAAAATTCCAAAAACTGTAATGTCAGACACTTTTATCACATGCACATTGTATCAATAATATCCAACATCTTGACATAATTCATGTACTGGTACATCACGGCATTCAAATTACTCCTCCACGATTAAGGATTGTGTCTGTGGACTTACATGTACCATAGAGCAAGGCCGGTAAATGTACCTCACCAGAATTTACTCGAAGTTAGAGGTTTGAACAATTGTTACCTTTTGTTTCAGTTTCGTGGAAAGTTGTTAAAACTTATTAATCAGGGACTTATATCAATCTCTATCTTTTGGTAATCTTTGCAATTTGTGTACGTATTGGGGATGTGCATGATATACATGTACACATCTACATGTAATATGTACATTTGTACATGGCTCTCTGCCCATTCCTACAATACTGCATGTAGGTTCATAGCTGCTATGCTTTCTGTTTATTCATGGTGTATGTACAGATTTATAGCAGGCCTAAGATTGACACATACCATTAGCACCTTCAGGCAAATAGGGTGCAGGTACCTGTTGTCAAAGTTTGTGCTGTGGACAGGTACCGGTACAGTACATCAACAACAGGTACATCAATCAATTATCCTAATGTGCAGGTGTTTCTGCAGAAACCCCTGAGCCCAATAACAAACAAGAAATGCATGGTCAGACCATACTGAGTGATCGTGATAAAGATCTGAATTTCTGCAGAATCTACATGTACCAGAAAAGATAGAACACATACATGTACATGTACGCTGGTAGATACATGTAGATACAAATTGTACCATAACAATGTAAAACCGCGTACATTTATCCACCCTGTTTTTTCTGAATTTTTAATGTTGATGTAATGCCAGACGGTACCACTCACTTCTTGTCAATGTGCCAATTTCTGTCTGAAAACAGGAACTGGTTAAGAATAAATTCCTCTGCCAAATGCAAATGTTGCCTTCCTGTATTGCATACGTTGTACCGGTACATTTATTACATTAAGATTAACATGAACGTGTACCGCAGATTAGTGGGTACAAAGGCAATTTTTCTTCTCCACCAACTACGGCACTGAAATATTGCCGGAAACTGATACAGTGGCCTGAGAATGTGCAGATTACCAGTTTAGGCTAAAATGGTAAATAATGTTATTGTGTACCATGTTTAAATTAAAGCTGTGTTTTGGATTAGTCTGTGACCAATAGTTTTCATGGCCTAAATATTTGGAACCCATAAGCACATGTAATTATTCACCCCTTGATGCATCTATAAAACCATAGAGTGCTCCAGGGGGTGATTTGGGGCGGTACCGGTATAAGGAGTAACAGGCAGGGCACTTTGGGGGCGGTACGGGCACAGATGGGTTGATCAGTGTCACACCTGTACCGTATACTGGTCTGTCATTGAGAGATGTGACTCACGTACCTGTCCACGCAATGGATTGGTAAACGTGACTCATGTTACCGAACCATTGCGTGGACGGGACTGGTGTGGCTTTGTTCCAAAGTGCATGTCTCTGAAGGTCGTCAGGTTTTTTTGATGTCCGAACTCTGCCACAGTACCGTAGCGTGATAGGAAATCCAGGGTATTATCTTCCTGTGGCAGATAATAGTCACAATCTAAAACAAATACAAGAAAGGCATTGTAGTCTTTGTTCAAGACCAGAGATCAGATTTGTTTCCCTTCTGCATCCGGTTTGTGACAAGCTCAGTCAAGAGGGGGCGCTATTACAAGATAAACAGTGGCAGTGGTGCCCAACATATTTCATCCGCGCTGTATTCAAGCTGTGCATGCGCATGAGGAAGTAATTGGATTTTCCTGGGTCCCATTGCCAAAATTCCCAATCCTTAATTTGAGGGGTACATTTCATTGGAATCAATGAAGGTCCACATGCCAGAAAAGTCTGAGTCCCCGTGTCGCACCTGCAAGCCCGGGCAAACGCCGATCACTTTACAAAGTAAATTGAAAGTATTCAACATTTGGCATATATGCGGCTCTCAAAACAACTCCTGTACCCGCCATCAACCCCAGCTTTTGTCAATTTCTCTTTCTCTTTCTTGTGATTTTTGTACACCTGAATTCCCTGAAGTGTTTTCTCAACCACAGCACTGCCCTACCGGTATCTTTTCTTTCCCGGCAAACTGCATACTGAAACAACTTTGTAACAACATGGGTTTTGTTGTCGGTTCCAACCACAGCTGGCTGATTTGGTGATGGGTGGGAAGGGGGGGGGGGTGGTTAGCTTGCACTTCTGTGACCTTTGACCCTTACTGAAAGCATTCGCAGGTACATTCATGCTGGGGAGTGTCAAGTGCGAGAATGTTGCCCCTGGGATCGCTGCGGGGTGTAGGCAAGGAATGTTGGGTTTTTAATGGACCTCAAGAGAGATTCAGCTGAGAAATATCGACCAAAAGGATTGGAAAAGCTTCTGTTAAATTTGTACATACATGTACAAGATGTCGATAAAATGTAGCACTATAGTCTGCATGTAGAGCGTAGCATAAAGATGATGACTTTTAACCGTGACACTTAATGTTCAGTGCAGGCACAATGTCGCAAAATCGTGGACTTGCATTAAATGAATGCCCTGAAGAACGTATTGTGTTTCAATACCAAAACTTGTCCTCATTTCAAAGGCTAATTTCAAGAAATACCGGTATGGATTACCTGAATTGAAGTCATGAATTGACATGTGTGGTTTTTTTTGTTGTTCTTTTTCCTCTGCAGCCACAAAACATTCTGCTGACGTCGGGCCTGCCGTGTCTCGGCGACATCAAACTCATCGACTTTGGCATCGCGAGGCTCGTCCACAACGGCGAGGTCATACGGGACATCGTTGGAACGCCTGAATTTGTCGGTAGGTCAAGTGAGAACTTTCATCGCATTGTTTGCATGGATCCCTCCTGCCAGTACAGGGACCGGGTACCCTATTGAAGTAAAACTCAGGTAGCCCTACAAGAAACCCAGCCCCAAATTTCAGATCTCGAACAGGCTTTATAGCTTTGCAGTGTAAACTGTAACTTTTCGTGATCATCATCTGTCGAGTGTCGAAAGTACGTAAACACGAAATCTCTGTTGGTTTTCAATGTAGCCTGGTTTTCATTTTGAAAATTCCCCGCACTTGGCATTCAAAACCTTTCTTCTTTGTTGTCTGAGAAGTTAACTAGGTAATTTGTAAAGCTGGTTACGGGTACCTGATCCCACAATCTGGAACTGGTTCCTGACATCAGCGGTCAGGAAGTCCAAGGTACCGGATTCCGATGCGCACCCCTTCTGGTATCTCCCGTACCCGTTTTGAAATCAACACGGGTACACCATGAACCAAAACAGGCTCTTTCGACCGTCAACTGAAACAAAGAATCCCAAATGAAATTGTTTCCATTTTGCCACAGCTCCGGAGGTCCTCAACTACGAGCCCATCACGTTAGCAACAGACATGTGGAGTATCGGCGTCTTAACCTACGTCATGCTGACGGGCATCTCGCCGTTTGCCGGAGACGACAAGCAGGAGACGTTCCTCAACATCTCCCAGGTCAACCTGGACTTTCCGCTGGAGTTCTTCCAGGACATCTCAGACGACGCCATGGATCTGATCCGGAGAGTCTGCATCAAGGAGCCTGAGTAAGTGTGCCGAGTTGAACCTGATTATAACCCTAACCTTCCCAAATCCTTCCAAACCCACCCGGAGGTTCGTAGGATTTTGTAGGATTGAGAATGCTCATATTCTTGCACTGGGGTGTTGGATTATGGAGGATTCAGTAAGGTTCCTAGCAAAAAAATGTGTAGGGAGTTAGGATTAACCCTGACAGAACTCAACCCATCAAACCCCAACAGCATGTTTGTTGGAATTTGTCAGGATGGGTACAGCACCCCTAAACTGACAGTCTTTTACAATGGGTTGGCACACCTCCAGAATCAAAGTCAGAAATATGCATGTGCAGTTTCCCATAATGGTGTTGGAATTTGCCAGGATGGGTATGGTTCCTAGTAAGTCATGCTAGGGAGTTAGGGTTAATAACTGATTTTGCTCCTTGTTTGGTGTGAGCTTTTGAGGACAAATAACAATCACAAGCTTGCTGAGTGGAGCTATGCTGATTTAACATTTCGTTTTGTCCTGCGAGCACTGAATATACTCAGTTCTTTCATAGAGCTTGTGAGGAAAAATACAAGAAGCTTCCTTGAGTAGGACTCAAACCAACATCTTCCAGGTCTAGGCCAGACCTCTTATCCACTGGACTGCGGAGCTTACCAGGTTTTAGCTGGCTGCTTCAAATCTGATATAGAAGTGGGAACCGCAATTATATAATTTTGCTTCAAGGGGGAAATTGTTTTGCCTCGTTTTGCCTTAAGCAGATTTATACTTCACTCTTATACTACCACACTTTGTTTTTCCATCCACCGCACAGTTTGTCCAACACCCTGATAAACTGTGTTGATTATTTTCTTATTTTGCAGGAAACGGCTAACAGCCGAAGAGTGCCTCAACCACCCCTGGCTTCAAGGCAGCTGCGAAAAGATGACAACGAAAGAGCCGGAACTCAGGCTAGCGGAGACCGACAACAATAACCACCTCAAGGAGGACATCAGCAAAGACGAGGACTTCTCGGACCACTGTCAAGGCGAGGACTCCGAAATGACGCCCCACCCTCACGACTCGGCAGACTCCCGTGTATCAAATCGCGACAGTTCCCCCGACGCGATCCCCACGACCTGCAATCAATCGACGCCGCAAATATTCACCGCGACTGTCACAATCAGAACTGTCACCCCAGACCAAGATTGCGTCGACTTTGGTGGGAACGCCAAGGAGTCTGAGAAGAGAATCCTCGACTCGGAAGACTCAGAGACCGCGGAATCGGTCGAGGCAAACTCGGACTCCTCGGAGCAGAACGATCACTGCAGGTCACCCTACCACAGCCCCTCAGCCCCCAGACGGGTACTACTCAAGAGCAAAGACGCCCTACCTAAAGATCTCAATCACCCAAAGCGAATCTGCATTCAGGTCGTCTAAGGAATAAACATTCAAGACAATTTACATTCAGGGACTGCTCATTGGAAATTAACTTATGAACCAACTCGCCTGCATCATTCCAGCGTGGAGCATTTAGTCCGGCGTGCCGTTAGCAAGCTGCTCAAAGAGCTGTACTGTGATGAGACAGCTTCTGTTCTCTGAAGTTGAATTTTAACCCAAACAATCCATCCATGTGTAAATGTATATTTGGAAAATTTCACAGTTTTGGTGGCTAGAATAGTTTTTATAGTAAAAAATATTGACCATCTTTCCATTTTACGTTCTGTACTACAGTCGACGTGTGTTAGATATCATTGCTGGGACCAAGTTTTTTACAACATATACAGTAAAGAAAGTTGTTTTTTTAGTAAATGACTAAAAAAAATCGACAATTTCGGAAAAAAATTACCCCAAGAGTCACCCTTCTACAAATAAAAAAAAATTAGTGCCGAAAGTTTTCCACTTCAGGGCTTCCAAATATAATGCAGTAATTATAAACATTTCTTGAAAAGATGAAAACACGATTGCAGCAAAACAAGTTAATAGCAACTCATACAACGGTAACAAGTTTAAGTCATCAAGTGCCTGGAAATACACTGGCATTAGTTTGTCCTACCCAGAAATTCCGCTGATAGTTTTGTTTTTGCATGCCAAAGTGTATCGTTAACAACCAAATTTGCTTTTAGCCCGTAATTTCAAGGTGTGTATTTAGTCATTCGTTTCTCTAAAACTCATGGCACTTTGTCTCAATATTATCTTGACGCATAGGCGATTGAACTATTTATTTCTAGCAAAACGGCACATTCTAAAATTTACATTTTAACAAAACTACTTAACTAGAAATGTTGGCATGGTGTAGTACAGTAGTTGCTTTTTGAAAGTTATGCCAAAAAGCTCTGTTACGAGGGCTGCCATTGGTAGATGTTTACGGTGGAGGGAGGCTAATGACCAATGACATGACTTGTCAAGTTTTAACCCGTAGGGTGTTGACAGTTGTTACAAAAGGGATGAATTCACAATAACAACTCGTTGTGTTAGTAATTATTTTGGGGGGCGACTCAGATTGCATGTTATCATGATTTTTGTAAAAAAAAATAGATTTGTATATAATTTCGTTATTTAATTTGACAAAAGAGATTAACATGTAGGTTTTTGTTTTAACACGCATGATACTCTTAGGCGGGAAACCTCTTGCGGTTACACACTTTGAGGCCAGTTGTACTTGTGAAAGTATGAACAATTTTTACTATTATCAACGTTGGCATGGGGTGAAAAGTAGTGTTTCGCGACACATTTCAATTTTCAGTGCTCCTACGGTTAAGAGTTTTATTAAATACCGTATCTAGGGTAAGTTGAAGACAAGTTTATCTGCAATAGACGTATCTAGGGTAAGTTGAAGACAAGTTTATCTGCAATAGACTCGTAGTATCTGGTATCCGGACGCTGGATACTTAGCCTATGAGCACAATCTGAATAAAATCGGTAGTGTTGCGCCGTACGCGCACGAACCGTTGCATGCGCACGGTGTGTCTTTCCAATTGAGCTGTCAAACGCGGTGATAGGGCGCCAACTTCTGTCCATGCACGGAACCCATAGGTTTATTGCGTCAAATATTACAGGTAGTTACAAGATTCCGAACAGCTTCGCAAAAAAAATCATCTCATTGAACTTTTCGGTTTGTAACCAAACTTTATTGAAGGAGTTTCAAGGGAAATTTCCTTCTGAAACCTGCAGCTTACACTGTGGATTATTGTGGATAAACTTGTCGACCGTTAGGCCATTTTTAGTCTAATCCTTGCAAGTCTTCTGTAGTTTGTGAAAAAATGTTAATTTGAAACCTACTGGTAGATTGTAGTCACCTATTGATATTCACTAGGGAAGCTACATGTACATTGCACTCATCTGGTTTTAATAAGCAGGAAATTTTAAACTTCTCTACCTCTTGATGCCAAGTTATCCCGGCAAAAGATAAGGTCATTTTTAAAAGTTGTAAGGGTTTTGTTTCAAGGATTTGGTGAATTTATCAACAACAAAATTCAGCCGAAGTATGCTTTGATGGTAAGGGGTTAACCTTGCATTTTTTTTTTAAATTGGGTCAAAATTTAACTTTTCCTCAAAACAACCTCAAAATGGCATATTATGCGCGATTAACCATTTAAATAGGTTTTTTTTGGCTCTCATTTTGATGATTTATGGAGGTTATTACAAAACTACATGTATTTTTTGTGGGCCAACAATTTGACAAAGCTGTAGTAATGGGTTAACCTTGTGTTTTGAATGAAATTGCGTCAAAAATGAACATTTCCAAAACCGCCAAAATGTTTGCATTTGATGCAAGATCAACCCATTTATATGATGGCTAGGCCTTGGTTTGAAGATGCACAGTTGTTGTTGCAAAATTATTTGTTTGGCCAAAACGCTGAAAACGTGGCAAGGGAGGTTAACCTTGTATTTTGAATCAAATTGTGTCCAATATTTATTTTTTCTCAAACTGCCCAAATTGTATTTGATGCAAGATAAACCCATTTAAATGGTCGCTAGGCCCTCATTTTGAAGATTTACTGAAGTTGTTAAAAAATAATTTAATGGCCAAAAATTGGAAAAAGTGGTTAAGGGGTTAACCTTGCATTTTGAATCAAATTTTGTCAAAAAAATTTACATTTTCTCAAACATCCCCTAAATTGTATTCGATGCAAGATAAACCTATTTCACTAGTTGCTAGGCCCTCATTTTGAAAATTTATTGAAGTTGTTGAAAAATTTAGGATTTTTTTTTTTGCCAAAAAATTTGAAAAAGTGGTAAGGGGTTAACCTTGCATTTTGAATCAAATTTTGTCAAAAACTTAACATTTTCTCAAACCACCCCTAAATTGTATTCGATGCAAGTTAAACCTATATTAATAGTTGCTAGGCCCTTATTTTGAAAAGTTATGGAAGTTGTTAAAAAATTTAGGTTTTTTTTGTTTGCCAAGAAAATTTGAAAAAGTGGAAAGGGGTTAACCTTGCATTTTGAATCAAATCGTGTCAAAAATTAACATTTTCTCAAACCACCCGCAAATTGTATTTGATGCAAGATAAACCTATTTCAATAGTTGCTAGGCCCTCATTTTGAAAATTTATGGAAGTTGTTGAAAAAAAATTAGGTTTTTTTTTGTTTGCCAAGAAATTTGAAAATGTGGTAAGGGTAACCCCTTACCACATTTTCAAATTTCTTGACAAAATTTGATTCAAAATGCAAGGTTAACACCTTGCATTTTGAATCAAATTTTGTCAAAAATAAACATTTTCTCAAACATCCCCCAAATTGTATTTGATGCAAGATAAATCTATTTCAATAGTTGCTAGGCCCTCATTTTGAACATTTATTGAAGTTGTTGAAAAATTGAGGTTTTTTTTTTTTTTGCCCAAAAATGTGAAAAAGTGGTAAGGGGTTAACCTTGCATTTTGAATCAAATTTTGTCAAAAATAACCATTTTCTCAAACATCCCCCAAATTGTATTTGATGCAAGATAAATCTATTTCAATAGTTGCTAGGCCCTCATTTTGAACATTTATTGAAGTTGTTGAAAAATTGAGGTTTTTGTTTTTTGCCCAAAAATGTGAAAAAGTGGTAAGGGGTTAACCTTGCATTTTGAATCAAATTTTGTCAAAAATAACCATTTTCTCAAACATCCCCCAAATTGTATTTGATGCAAGATAAACCTATTTTAATACCGGTAGTTGCTAGGCCCTCATTTTGAAATTAATTGAAGTTGTTAAAAAATGTAGGTTTTTTTTGTTTGCCAAGAAATTTGAAAAAGTGGTAAGGGGTTAACCTTGCATTTTGAATCAAATCGTGTCAAAAATTAACATTTTCTCAAACCACCCGCAAATTGTATTTGATGCAAGATAAACCTGTTTAAATATTTGCTAGGCCTTCATTTTGAAAATTTATGGAAGTTGTTGAAAAATTGAGGGTTTTTTGTTTGCCAAGAAATTTGAAAAAGTGGTAAGGGGTTAACCTTGCGTTTTGAATGAAATTGTGTTAAATTTTACCTTTTCCTCGAACAACCCCAAAATGACTGTCAATGCAAGATAAACCTATCTAAATAGTTGCTAGGCCTTATTATTGAAGATTTTATGGAAAAGATAGTTTTCCCCAGTGCGGCTTTGAACAAAAAAACATCATTTCTGCTACACACTTTGTAAAACTATGCATTGTTAACATACATCATTCGTAATTTACAGGTATTTCGTTGTTAGACCATGCTGGCAAAATTGGTTTGAAAATTCCTGTGTTGTCAAAATACGAAACTGATGTGTATTTTACATTCAAAAACTGTTTTTGGTTATAGTGTATTTTATAACTAATTATTTACGCAAACTGTCTTAAATTTTCGCAAGAAGTGGTAAAAAAAAAATTATAGAAAGTCACTTCTATTCGCTCCAATACGGTAAAATTTAAATGGAAATTGTCACATAAAATTGTAGTGTACTGTAAGTTTGTACATTTTATGTATATTTTTTACTGCTGTTTTATATCAAGAAAATGCAGAAATAAATTCCAACACCATATTATGGCAAGTTATACATGTTAGCATTATAACGGTCTTGTTTGTATTTGTCTGTCTTTAAATTTACTAAGTTCAATTTGTGAAGAAGCAGATATTAACAAGAGAAGTGCTTTTAATAAATTGACTCAATTCCTAGCAGAGATAAGTCCAATCTGGAACTTCCATCAGAACATGATAGAGAAATAAATATATAAGTACAAAGTATTTAAGTATAAAGTATAAGTATCAACCATCCAGCGAAAGAAATTTCCAGTGAGTTGATCAGCCCAAACCCAAGTCCAAAGTTCTTACCCCAGACCCAAGGCCTCTACCCCCTCAGCTTCCAACTCTCTCTGGAGACTAAGTCAGAACATCCTAAGGGTTTTAATTACCGGAATCCTTACTTTTTTAAGAAAAACCCGGTGGTGTAGTGGTAAGAGTGTAAGGCTACATACCCAAGGGTTCCCGGTTCAAGTCCCACCCATGCACAATTTTGTCAGAAAACTTAGTATATATTTTAAAAAAAGTCTAAAAGCTCCTCAGGACGGCCCAGGATCTGAACCGGGGACATCCCGGTTCGGATCCTGTGCGCGTCCTACTGAGCCAACTGCTTCTTGAGAAATTTATGTTCGGACCTTATATATAAACCTTAGGTTAACACATTGCGAAATAATTATGAATATTCATGATATGAATATTCATCAATGCAAATTAAATACAAATTGCTCATAAAATACCAGTATGCAAATGAGGGCAAAAAAATGCTAGTCTTAATTTGATTACTTGAATATCAGAGCACATCCGAAATTTGTCGTTCCAATTTATATCAAATTGGTAAGGGGTAAACCTTGCACTTTTAATGGAATTGGGTAAAAAAAAATAACTCTCCCAAAACATTAAAGGATTCCTTTAAAAAAAATTAATGCAATTTACAAGAGCTATTATAATTTGTAAACGTATTTTTGAAATGTTTGTTTTTACAAAAATTGACTCAACTAACAGAATAAATACAGTTGAACACAAGATATACATTCAAACTGATTTATTTGAATTTAAAATAGATGTTACCAACAAGTTATCATCCCTAAATTAACAACAATTTTTCGAACATCCAAAAAATAAAAGCAACTCCAAAAACAAACAAAAACGCAGTGTTTGAGATATATATTTATGTCGCTAAAAAAAGTACAACATTTTTACTACAAATGTTTCTCGTGCAAAAACTTAACAACAGCAACTGGTCTGTAAGTTTGGCTTTGAACATAATAAAATGGTAAGGGGTTAACTTGCATTTCTTTTGCTAAAAATTGTGGTTACAAAATTTGGTTTGTTTTTTTTTTTGCTAAAAATTTTAAAAAGTAGTAAGGGGTTAACCTTGCATTTTGAATCAAATTGTCTGAAAAATTGATTTTTCATTGAACAACCCCAAAATGACTTACGATGCAAGATGAACATATTGAAATAGTTTCTAAGCCCTCATTTTGATCATTTATGAAAGTTATAACATTATTTTTGGGCCAATAATTAAAAACAAAAGTTGCAAGGGGTTAACCTTGCATTCTGAATCAAATTGTGTCGAAATTTAACTTTTTCTTCAAATCACCCAAAAATGACCTTTAATGCACGATAAACCTATAAAAATAGTTAGGCCTTACTTTTGAGAATTTATGGAAAAGCTGGATTTTTAAATTGTCGCAAACCATGCACTACAGTTAGAATAATGTACACGGGGTTTATGATGCCACAAGTCACAAAAGTATTTATTTTTTGGAAATTATTGTAACTTCTTCTAAGAATTTAATTATTTAGGACATTTTAATTTAAAAAAAAAAAATTCAAAAATAAAGGGAACATGCATTAAAAGATGCAATTGAGATGATAACAAAATACATGTCAGTGAAATTACTACATACAAGTTTAAACATTTTTCTTTCATAAAATGTATAAAATAGTATGACAGGATTTTTTTTGGCAACAGGTCATCAGTACGCATAGACGCACACATCATCATCACGTTGCATGGACCATGAGCCTTCAGTCAAAAAAAAAGGAAAAGAGCAAATCAACAAAATAATTTTGTTTTTTGAACACAAGTTAATTAAGGCTAAATTCTGAGATCGAATATTTTTCTTTGAGGGCAAATTGAATGTCATTTTGGATCAGCAGATATTTCTTCCAAATAAACCTGCTCCAGAAATCCCAAACTTGTGAATTTCACAATGTAAAATAATTGTACAAGGCATGATTTGATATAACTAAGTAGGAAGCTGCAGTAACTAGGTTTCTTTGCTTGTGCAGAACATCATTTTTGACATCTTATCAATTATCCGAGTTGACTGCTTTTTACAAATTCAGTTTCTAATAGGCACTTTCATTGGACATTATCAACCATTTTGCATTGCTATCAAGAAAAAATAACAGTTCTTGCATCAACTTCAAAGTTATAATGTGATTAGGGTTACGTACAAACAGGGACAGCCATTTTGTGACAAATGTCCAGTCTGTTCATAAGTATAAATCCTGATTAAAAAATATCATATTCTTCACATTGGCTCTGAGTTTTCTCGGTTTTGACTGATAGCATTCCTCCAGGGTACATCTTCTTAAATCAGACAACATTAGGGGATCATTAAATGTTATGCTTACTTTGTGACTTTATCTAAAATATTTGTCCTTTGGTTAAGTACGCAACACTTTTAAAAACAATATCCATCGTATTTTCTAAAATCCAAAACCAGTTACCCTTTGCAGGTGAGGATATTTGTTCAAAGCTTGCAATGTTTACAGCAAAAATTGAGAGACCAAGATCCTAGTTTTATCATCAAAACTGAAAAGGTGTTCTCAAATGTCACACTTTTAGGCCCGTTAGTGTGGAATTGCCCATGCATATAAGGTCTGCCCTCGTGTTTTTCATATTTTACAGGTTGTGAGGGATTGTCCAGCATTCGTATGTTTATATCGCAAGATTAGAAATTCTTTGCTCACAGGAAAGCGCAAGCACAGAATTCTGTGAGAATCAAATTTTGCC